TCGCGGCTGTGATCTCGGTCTGAAGGCCACAACGACTTTGAGGGTTGAAAGGTACGCACCTTTAAACCCTGAACCTCTAAACCTAAACACCTAAAGCCCAACAGACTCAGAGCATTAACATCATACTGTAGGAACTTTAATTAGGATAGGGTTTTGGCAGTTCCTTATTTTATACTTCTTCTAAGTATTATGGCCTCATACGGCCCGTATATTAGTCCATCCGAGCCCAGGATTCTCATCTACGTCGGCTTTCGGCACTTAGCATGCTACAGGACGGTGAAAGTTTGCTGTCGCTGCGGGTGCTGAGATGCAACGCATCCAACTATAGAGAAACCATGAACAAACTGCTTACAGATACTTCGGCAGAGTGCAACCAAGTTCAGGCCCAATGCCTACACACCTCGTTGGGATTCCGCACCCTAAACCCTAAAACCAAAAACCCTAAACCCTTATAGACCCGAAACCCTAAACCCTAAACATCAGCCCCAGTGAGAAAAGCGGCGAGTCCCAGAAATTCTCATGCCGCAAAGTGCTTCTGCTGCTTTACTTGCCACACCGAACGCCGATCGCGTACACCAACTTCCCTGCAGCCATCGTATATCTCAAAAGCCTCCCAAGACAACCCCATCACAAGCACGTGTGGGGCTTTCCGAAAATAGGGGACCCTAATATAGTACCCTAAATAGTAGGATCCTTATTATAAGGACCCCCAAATAAGGTACCCCTAACTTTCGGAACCTCCCGTGTACTTACTGCTCAAGCTCTCAGATCAAAGGTAGCGCAATTCCAGTTGACCACCGTTGGGCCAACGAGTCTCCTGCAGAATGAGCGCACAGCGGATGCAGGATTCTTAGGATTTGGCCCCTGGAAATTTGGGAGTTTTCGAAAATTAGAGGTACCTCAATTTGGGGGTCCTGACTATTTAGAGTACTCTATTAGGGTTCCCTATTTTCGGAAACTCCCATGTAGGATTATTGGAAAGTTGCTGTTAGTGGAGGGTCTTTTGCTGTCGAAAACCTCAAGCCCCGAAACCCGAAGCTTTATTTCTCTCCCCTAAACCCTACAAAAGGGGAAACCCCGAACCTTTAAGCCGTGATACGTTCACTCGAGGCTCCAGGCACTCGGGGAGCAACTAGTGTCCGAAAAGGCAGCTACGAAACGATCCAAGCTGAAGTTCAATCACCGTTTAGGCTTTAGGGCTTTGCGGCTTCAGCGGTTTCGGGCTTTAGGGGTTCAGGGCTTGGGGATTAGCGCTTTGTGCTCCCAGCGTGCGGGCCCAGATAATCACTCCAGCCGCGCTTGCCACGGCTCTCGGGTTCAGGGTTTGTTGGGTCAAAAGTCTCAACGGACGCCAGGCTCGCCTATCCTAGAGCCTGAACACTTCGCAACATAATTGTTTAGGGTTCTACTAATGTGCCCTAAACCCTTTCTTATGCTAACTGTTAAAGCCCCTGCATTGCAGAAAGCCCCTCCAGTTTCAAGTCCCTAAAAGTCGGAGACAGACGGCACGAACTGTCCGGACGTGAGCCAAGACGGGAGCTAGAGTTTCAGGTATATTCTACTAAGAACTACAATAGGGAACCCCCACATCAGTACAGCTAATTATTGAGGCGTCTACTTTAGATCCTGAGATCATGAAAACCCATTGACGCAAGGGCGTAAGAATCAGAAACGGCTTACTGAGGGTATATGATACGAAAGCCATAATAAGTAAGCCTGATACGACTACGTGTTCAGGCCTCCATATGAACCATAAATAGCCCTACAGCAAACTGTAAACTTCCCAACAGCAATACTCCAGGGGTCGGAAGAATGACTATCCCCTATCCTATAGTTCCCATATGTAGTCATAGAACTATACTCAAAGAGATCCTGTTTATTCATGCCCTAGACCCCAAACCCTAAGGAATCCGGTCCCGGTACTAACTTCAGAGCACCTCGGGAAGCAGCCACACATCGCAAAACTGAAGAGCAAAGGATTTCAGACCTCGCGGTGTTTCGGGTTTAAGATTTCAGGTTTGAGGTTTAGGATTTAAGGCTTAGCGTTTACCTCAACTTCTACTCCTTACGCTTACGTTGCTAATTTAATGCTTGAAGGCTTGGTGCTTAAGGAAACTATACCTATAAGTTCTGACAGCCCCAATTAGGGTACTTATAACCTTACTTACTCAGTCCCCTGATCCTCCAAATAGACCCTAAACCCTCAACCCCTTAGATCCGTATAAGGAGCGCTTTAAGAACCCTGACTTTCTAGGTCCCCTGATCCTGCAAGTAGGGATCTCGGGCTGAGCGGGAAAAGCCGATGGACGGGCATTTCTCAACGCTTGGGGGGGCTACGGAGCGAGTGGGGGAAGTATATAGTGCTATAACGGCCTTAATCATTACCAATAGCATGTTGGGGTTGTATAATGGGCCCGAAAACCCATTTCTAATTATTAAGGCCCCTATAGTAGTCGTCGTCGTAATCGTAGTAGTAGGAGCAGCAGTCGCCGTAAATAGAGTACCCCTGAATTTTGTACCCCAACTCCTAAGGCGACCGAAGGTGCAAGCACGGCTTGCGACACGAAGAACATCGGCCGTTATACTATATAATATACCACAATGTACTATATAATTTGCCATAGTGTGCTATATAACAGAGTCCGTACAAAAGCAATCCAAGCGGCAAGCTGGGCTGGGACTTTGGCGGTTGCCGTTTTGGGGGTTGCAGCTGCCAGACGATATCTAGACCCGGAGTCAGTGAACACATCATCAGTAAACATTATATACACACATACCTGAATACATACATAACCATCTGTAATTATACATACACATACGGCCGTACATACATGTAACCACAACTAATTTAACGTGTTTGGCACACATCTTTTCACATGTGCATGATTCGTTTCAAACATGTATGTGCACACACGATGTATGAGACTATCCAAGCGTGCATAACCGGATATACACATACACATATGTGTGTACAGGCATACATACATACATACATACACACACAAATACACACATACACATGTACACACATGCATACATACACATATGCAGATGCGCATGTATACATATATATATATATATATATATATATATATATGTATGTACCACATAAGCATAGGTGTGTATGTATATATATATATATGTACATATATATATATATATATACGTAGACAGAAAGATTAGTTGTAGGTCACAATATTTCAATATCTAGTTTTCATTTATTCGGATACATATGCTTAATATATTGTATTTTATCATACGATATGATACTACAGTACATTGCATTATAGTATATCATATGGTCTTTTATTATGGTATATTATATGTGTACATATATATATATATATATATATATATATATATATATATATATTGACACACACACACACTCACACACACACACACACAGACAAACATAATACAGTATACGTGCGCACCCGACCACGGTTACATGAGCTTGTAGAACCTCTTTCGTGCCCGCATTGTGGCATCCGGTGTTCTCTAAAGTTCTGGTTTTTTGTGCCGGAACGGATTTGGGCACCACACCTCACGGAGGTAAGTGTAGGGTGCAGGTGTCACGCTTGTGCACTCCGAGTCTTCGAATACCCGCTTGCCGGGCACGAGGTACGACTCCTCACAGCATGAGTGGGCCGGAATGCCTGTCGGCGGAGGTCACAGGATGTGTTCGTCAAAACACGAGCTCGTGCCAGCTACGAGTGCATATCAGTTCTTGTAGCTTTGGACCTGCCCAATCTCGAACAGCGTTCCTGCCGCGGCGCCAAAAACTCCACTTGAACGCCAGGCTGTCCTGTGAAGCATCGCTTCTTGCTGCTGGATTCCCAGCCTTCCTTTGGCAGCACCAGTTTCGTCAGTGCCCGCATGCTCTTCAGTGCCATCGGCAATCCGGGATCTTGAAGTGCCTGGATAGGCGCCTCCTGGAGATTCAAGGATTCGAAGAAGTTGCGAAGCCCGGAGCGGAGGAAGAGAACTAAGCGGCGAGATGCTTCCGCCAGAGAGCTCGGATGGATCCGGCCTCGTGTGGAGCGAATCGTTGGCGCAAACTGCCCTGTGTATTCAAAGTTTCGGCAGCGCTGTTGGAGTTCATAGGTAGCCGTATCCGCCACATGCCGTGAAGCTCTCAGAAGCTTACCAAGGTCTTCAATGTTTAAACATGCGAAGAACTCTCGACTGCCATTCAGTCCGCATGGGCCCCAGTTGTGACTGGCACTGACAGAGAAATCCATCTTCAGCCAGCCTTTCTTGTAGTCATAGTTAAGGTCAATCAGTCTTGCGCCAGTGGCCCAGGCTGCCCCCAGTGTCGTACATGATTTGTACTTCTCGTACTTCTCATACGCAGTGGTGCCCAACTGCTTTGGGTTGTCCAGGGTCCACAGCACGGGTGTGTCGGGTGGAAGCTGCTTCCATGGCGGCATGAAGCAACTCCCCTTATAAAGGATCCTGAATCATTGAAGACGGTCTCAGGGTATAGGCTCGTGTAATGCATATGGCATGGGGGCTGTATGTAAAGGGATACTGTTTCCCCGTTCCCCCTCTCATCCCCTCGCAGAGACGTCGAAGCCCAGGAAACCAGCACCAAGCAGCCCGACAACAGCACCTGCAACACACAAGGAATAGTAGAGTATAGATAGGAACTCCAAGGAAGAGTTAAGCATAATCAGGAACTCCAAGGAAGAGTTCAGTAAAAGAAGGAACTCCAAAACAAGGTGTTGGACACCTACTCAAGCTTTACGGTACCCTTTCAGGAGGCCTGTAGAAACCCCCATGGATCCCTTTAAGGAACCCTGAGCCCCAGACCTTACAGAGTTAATATAGGGGCCTTAATAATTAGAATGGGGTTTGGGGGCCCATTATGCCATAATTATTGTATAAGAAACCACCAAAATAGTATAGGTAGTTATGAAGACCCCTATACTACCCATCCTTACACTTGCCAAAGGCCCTCCTGTGCCGAGGATGGGGCCTGGACACTCCACAGCCGATCACCGGTCATACCTCAAAAGTCGAGCGCTTCGGGTTTACTTGGAGGGTCATGGGACTTAGTAAGCAAGGGCTCTTAAAGGGCTCCTTGACGGGATCTATAGGGTTCCTTAAAGGGATCTATAGGGTTGAGGATTTAGGGTGCTACTTGCAGGATCATGGGACTTAGTTAGTAAGGTTATAAGTCCCCTAATTGGGGTTAGAGGTAATTATAAGTATAGTTACCGTATTTCTAGCCCTAATTACTGTACTAAGTCCCATGATCCTTTAAGCAGGGGGTTGAAGGGGTTTAGCGGGATTAGGAGGCTAGTGATTTAGGGTGCAGAGCTCAGGGTTTAGGGGCTCGGGGCTGAGGGGCGTGGGGGTTTAGGGGTTAGAGGTTTAGGAGTTAGGGGTTCATATTCATACGCAAACAAGTGAAAACAAGCAACAACTGTACTTCAAACGGAATCTGGGCATAGAGTCATACCATTGTCGCAAGCTTTCAAATTTCGGGATACCTTTTCCGTATACATGCTCCGCCAGGGCTTTCCTCATTCTCACTTTCCAGATGGTAGGGTTTGGGCATCCCAATCTTTTGGGGGTGCAAGTGTAAGGCGATTAGGGACACCCCAAACATGGGGCAATGGGACAGCATTTGACCGAAAACCCTAGCAGTTTCGGGGTTGAGGGCTTTTAAGGCTGAAGGGGTTTAGGGCTTCTAGGGCTTAGGGGTTTTAGGGGTTTAGGGCTTCTATGGAGAGGCAACTCTGAAACCAGGCCAGCCGGCATGGACTTGTCCTTCTTAGACTTCTTCTGCTCAGCGCGCTTTTTGGCCTGGATGCATATTCAAAACTTAGCTAGGGTAGGGGCTGTAGGCTGAGAGTGGGCTTAATGTGGGGAAAAGGTTCGTCTTGAGGATTTTCGGTCCAATTCTTTCGGTTTCGGATACTTTAACAATTATGGAGCGCGAGCCCTTCAGCCCAAAGGCCACCGTAAACCCTAAACCCCTAAACCCCTAAGCCCTAAACCAAACTACTGCTGTAGGTTTGGGGCTTCAGGACTTTCATGCTGAAAATTCTCAATCTGAGCCTGCAAAAAGCACGTGTCGAGTTTACTTGGGGAGCAGGAATCATTTGAACATGCCATGAAAGTGGAGCGGCAATATGGGTCTGGGACGTTAAGCTTGGCAGCAGCCCATATACAGCACTTTGTCTCGTAGTCGCGGGTTTGGGGGCACCAATTGTGATATGAAGCTGCGCGTTCCACCTCTTAGTCAAGAGCACGGCACGGTTTCGTCGCAAAAGCACGCCTAGAGCCCTGAACCCTAAGCCCCAAACGAGTGATGTGCCCGCCCCAAAACTCTGACTGTTTAGTGTTTAGGGTTAGCGGGTAGTGTTTAGGGTTGAGGGCTTCCTATTCCTCAACTTTCCCACAGATGAGGCATCTGAAGTTCTCGGAGCCTCTGCAGCGGCGAGTTTCGCCGCATCCGAGGCCGCCGGTTTCTTCGCAGCAGCTTTCTTCTTCTTCAACGCCTTCCGAGACTGCCCATCGGGTTTAGGGTTTAGAGTATAGGGCCTCAGCCCTAA